TTTGCAAATTAATTTGCTTATAATTTTTACGCTTAGTTAAACACAATTTTGAGTGATTTTCACACAGAAAATGCTCGTTGCTAAAAAGTTTCGCCTCCTACCAGCAGAAGGCAGTGCACAGTGGAACCGGATGATTGAAATTACACACTGAAAACGAATAACTGACAATCTTGATGTGTGAATACGTCATCTAACTTTGTAAATTTACTGCAAATTTATTTGGCTGTTCACATTAAAGAGTACTCTCTACTCTCATACATTTCTAATATCTATTGTTCAACAGCATCACTTAAAGCCGTCTCGATTAAAGCGAACAACTGCGCTAAAATGATTCCGCTCAGAGTCCCCAGTGGCGGCTCCATTGCCTTCGTTAGCTCCAACTGGCAATGGTCAAACAGCGGAAAAAAATATAAAATATTTATATATGTATGTGTGTATATGTATGCTTTTAAATGTTATTTGCATCATTCTGAAGTTTGTTGGCGCGTCCCTCCAACGTTCAACGTTTTTGAAGCCTATCGGCGTGGTTCATATTTTTATAAATTGCTATAAATTGAGATATTAATACGATAGCCGACAGAAGTCACAGCCGATGGGACGTGTTGCTGTTGTTTTTTTGTTGCTGTTGTTGTTGTTTTTATTGTTGGTCGGTTCGCTGATTTCAACATGTGGCAAAAAGTGTCGAGACATTAAAAAATGTTGCGCAAGTGTTGCGCAAACATAATGTGCAGTTATTTGTATGAAATGCGACAAGCGCCAACTTTTTCAGAGCAACATTTGGCCCGAGCCGGCACTCGACAATGAAGTCGTTGTTGTTGTTGTTGATGTTGATGTTGTTGTTGTTGTTGTTGTTGCTAACGAGTAAGTTGGACTTTAAGCTGAAATTTAAACACCGACTGTGGCAGTCAATGTCCTGCTGCAGGATCTCTGCCTCATGCAGCTTAAATATTCCGTACACACACCCAAGCACACATACACACACATGCTCACTCAAATGCACACACATTTTGTCAGTTGCTTCAATTGGACTGATTTAATTGAATCACTGTGCTCCTCCATCGACTCTACAGTGCTCTGCCCCCTCTACCTCCACCATACACGTCTACCACTTCTGTCTTCGGCCTTTCAATTTACAACGCCGGCTGTTGTTTTTGTTGTTGTTGCTGCTGCAGAGTGTCTGTAGTTTTGGGTCTACGTTTTCGCACACGTTTGCGTGCTATGCATGGCATAAAAATTTGACACAAAAGCCGTTGCATACAATTGGGCACACACGCACTCGTCTGTGTGCGTGTGTGTGTGTGTGTGTGGATGCAGCTGCCGCGGTCCATGGCATTTGTTTGAGTGTTTCCAGACAAGGCATAGGGCTACCAACAGGCGACGTGTTGAGGTCGTTGTCATACACTGATTTTGTATGCAGCAGAAACAACCATTTTAATACATGCTCTTTATACCCTATGCACATTTGAAATGGGTAAAAACACACTGTCCGAATTGTAAGTGTGTGTAACAAGTAAAGGGGAATAGTTGTGCCTCCATAGTACAGTTAACTATGTGGTATTCACTTAAGTCAACTTCATTTGAAGAACTAGAATTAATAGTACTAAATTTCAAATACTAATAATAAATATTTAAGACAGGGACAGGGTATCTTCAAGTCTTAAATGGAACCATATAAAATTGAACACAAAGTATTTTTTTTTTTAATATTTTATAGCCGTAATGAAAAATTATGAATTATTATGAAAAAGTGGCATGCCCCATTATTCTATTAAGACAAACGCATATTTTGGCCTTAATAAACTCGAAAACATATCTTTTGTGAACGCATTTTTATGCATTTAGTTTCATATACGTTTATAAAGTTGTTTTTCGATATTCACTGTTGATTTGCTTTAAGCTGTTCCGTTGCAAGAATCTAAACTTAAATAAATATACCGAAGATCGCAATGCACAAGGAAAAATAAATACTGAAGAGGCTTTGATCTAGAGCTAGACTTGAGATTTTCCAAATCTTGACTTATCCCATAATAATGACTCTTATTCAGAGTTATGTACATAAATTTATTAAAAGTAATAATAAAAAATTATGATTTTATAAATAGGTGAGTTTTGTGGTTGAAGAATTTCAATATTATTTTATTACAAATGGAACTTAAATCATTTAACTGTTTTCTTTTCAAGGTAAATTACATCTAAATATTATTAAGAAAATTCATTAGGTATAATAATTTATAAAAATTTATTACATCATTCTTTATACAAACTATTGTGAAGTTATTATTAATTTAATACAATACACTTTTTAAAATTTTAATTAAATATTTTTTTTTTATTTAAAATTTGGCTGTAAAACTTTGAATTTACAACTAACTTTTAATTTAAGTTCAATGGGCAAGTGCCTATGCAGTTAATTAAATATATTTGAATAAGTACAAACACACATATATATATATATATACTAGCTGGCCCGGCAAACGTTGCATTGCCCTATCCATTATTTCTAGGTAAAAAAATGTTGAAAGCTATGTTGTTTAGGTTGGGATATACTCTGATTAATTTATTAATCGGATTTTCATTCAAGCACGTTGTGGTAAACGACATTCTTTGTTTTTTGGTCAGG